ATAAACGAAACTACTACAAATATCTAATAAAAGATGAGCGTTATGCATCTGTCATAAGATATATTGAAATATGGGTACCTACCAATAAAAGTGTCCACCCTGTACATTTGTAACATTTTCAGTCTAACGGCTTCATGTAAGTATATTCTAAACAATTATGTCTAATAATTATGCCTTAGAATAGTTTGTTTTGTGTGTTTTAAAGTAAAATTTTCAAGGCGACGCTTGCAATCGGACTCTTATTCGCACGCCTATGGATGACCGTAGCTCCGAAACGGCTCGAGGACCCCCCCGATTTTTTTGCCAAAATTCGATCTACATACATAGAACTACAACATATAAAAAATTCAGACATTTTGACCGTAACCTATTTTTAATGGTCCAAGTGCGGGGTACTTTTCCGAAAATTTCAACACTCTGTATTTTCTTAACGAGACATTTGCGGACACATGTATCTATGCAAAAAGTGATTGCCCTACTGTACTCTATCTACTATAACAAAATGCGCACGTATTTTGGACTCACCCTGTATTGAAATACGATATAATTTTATTCGTGACAAAGTTAAAAATAAAGTAATCATTTTGAAGTACATTCCAACGTTGATTTTCCAACAAGATTTCAAATTACTGATTTTTTTACGAAACCTTTTTCCCAAACTTTGTTCAATGATTTTCGGATCAAGTGTGATATGGCTTAACACATTTAATAACTATTTTCTCTGAATTACAGCAAGAGCGACTTTTTATTGATACTTGATACTCTTGACAAGCTCAAAAGGTGTATATTTACTGCCTAGGCAGTTTAAAAGTTGGTTTCTAAGCAAAGTTCCAGGTAATAATTTTAATCAATCTGATTTTCAAAATTGACAATAACAATATTACATTTTTGTCAAAATAATTTAATTATTTGGATATTATAAGAATGAAATCAATATAAAAAAGATGACTATGAGGGAAATTACTGGTTTCCTAGCCTCGGCTATGAAACACCAGCCGCGGCATTGAATCTTGTGCTTCTTTGCCTAGTAAAACAAATACCTATTAAAAATATTGATCCTACTACTTAGCACAAATTAATGCACCAATTGTCTTGCTAATAATCTCACTTCTGACACCAAATTTTCACGGCTTTCGGGGTCCACTAAAACTCACTTAACACACAGTACCAACTTTCATTCAATAAACACACAGTTCCAACTTTCATTGAATAAATTGACTATAAGTCCTGAACTGATTTCTTAGAATCTGGCCGGGCTCTCGATGCAATTCCGTAACAATAGGGTGCTTGCATCAATTTTTTTTAATGCTGATTTCGTTAGTCCATAAAAAATAAGTCAACACGTGTTTTTTCTTCTTCTTCTTAGTCAAAAATTGACGGAGATACAACGCTATGAAATATGCCTATGACGTCACTTATCATATAAATTAGTGACGTTGCACATGCTCAGTATATCTATATACCTATACAAAACTTAATATTTGTGTAACTTCCGGAATAATCATATTTGGGCGAAATTAAAAAAAAGTAACGATTTTTTTTTCAATTTCCTACAGTTTGCAATAAACAATAATCAATTTAATTTTTCATGCAAGTACCCTATTCCTAAAATTCAAATTATTTTTAGTTTTATGAGATTTTTAAACAATCGCACTTTTGATCATTTGAATCTCAAATTGAGTCTAGCTGTGGCGTTCCCGAAGGGCGTATTTCTTTGCTTGACAGCTTGCTTGAGCCCTTCGAACGCATTAAAGGTGTTGAAACAGCTAATTTATATATTAGGAGGGCTCCTTCAGCGAAACTACACAGTGTTGGAAGATGATAGGTCAAAGTTAGTTCTCTAAAAAATTGTGTTTTCAAGTCTCCAAAGACTATTGCGAATTTAAATTTTAAATATTTTGAGACTACAGTTCCTTGAGAAGCTTAATCACCATATAGACTGAGTGTTCTGGGCATAAAGTTCAGGATACAAATCCCCAAAGAAGTATTTTTTTCAAAGCCTCCATAGAATTATTAGAAAATTAGAATTTTTGTGAATTTCGAGCTCGTCGGGGACACTAAACTTTCTTGAGTTGGACTGAGGATTTGTTACGTGCTGAGATGGCTCGAAAAAACTCCGAGTTCATAACCATCCTGAAAAGTGAATTTATCTCTTGAGAATTTGGATCTCAAATTGCGGGCGAGTTCTTCGAGCACGCCACAGGTCCTGAAGCATGCACTCAGTTTATACACTAATTGAGCTTATCGTGAGGTCTGAAGAGACTGAAGAGTTCTTCGGGCACATTTGCCGAAATCCTATCGGTTGGTACCCAGGATCTGTCAGAATTTTTATGACAGCATAAAGGATTTCTGTTAATTAATCTGTATTTCGCTCGTAAAATAGAGGGCGCCTTTTGGATCAAAAGTTTTACATTAACTCAGAAGTCTCCACATAAAACATAAAAGAACAATAGACACTATAATTACCTACGCATTCAACTACAAATTCTTATAGAATTACAGCCCTGCCAAATATCAATAAATTAGGTGTCCCGAACCCCGCAGTGCTCAAAATAGTTAAAATGGGAATAAAAAAATCATTTCCAAGAATTCTGATCCTAAATTGGTCGAGCCACGTCTCTTAAGCTGGAAGAGCAAAGTCAGCAGAATCGAAAATCAATACATGGAACATTAAAGGCTCATTAAAGGCTAATTAAATGCCCCGATGAGAAATTTAAGGCTCACTAAATTTTCGCAACATGAGCGAAGAAGTGGCTAAACTAACGAAAATTGCGATTCCACTTGCACAGACAATAAAGGCTCATTGAAATTGAAGGCTCTGAAAATACACCAATCGTGAATTTCAGGCTCAATTACTTTTTTTTGTGAAAATACAAAAAGCGCGATGTGTGAGTGATGTTGGCCAAACATGGCAGAAAAATCTCTTAGTTTTTGAAAATCAGCGTTCCGATAGTGCAGTCGTAGTAAATACATTAAAGGCTAATTGAATGCTGTAATGAGAAATTTAAGGCTCCTTAACTTTTCGCGAAAATGACTGTTCTGCTAGCTTTAACCTAAGCCAGCAGAACATGGGCGAAAAAGTGGCTGAAATAAAGAAAATTTCAATTCCATATGCACCGACATTAAAGGCTCATTAAAGGCTCTGGAAATAGAACAGTCGCGAATTTCAGGCTCAATTACTTTTTTGTGAAAATGCGAAAAGTGGCGATATGTGGATAATGTCGGCGGAGCATGGCGGAAAAACCTGTCAGACAGTGAAAATCAGTGTTCCGATAGTGCAGTCGTTGTGAATACATCAAAGGCTAAATAAATGCTGTAATGAGAAATTTTAGGCTCTGCTAGTTTCCGCGAAAATGGCTATTTTGCTAGCTTTAACCTAAGCCAGCAGAACCTGAGCAAAAAAGTGGCTAAAATGACAGAAATTGCAATTCCACTTGCACATGCATTCAAGGCTCATTAAAGGCTCTGGAAATACACTAATCACGAATTTCAGACATTTCTAAACTTACCAATAATAACCTGGTTAGTTTAGGTACTTTGAAATTTTAATCAGACTTTCCCAAACTCACTAAATCAAAAAAGTAATTGAGCCTTAAATTTGCGATTGGTGCATTTCCGGAGCCTTTAATGAGCCTTCAATGTCTGTACAAGTGGAATTTGATTTTGGTTGTTTTGACCACTTTTTCGTTCATGTTCTGCTGGCTAAGGTTAAAGCCAGCAGAATGGCCATGAAATTGGCGGAGCCTAAAATTTCTCATAACAGCATTTAATAAGCCTGTAATGTATTCACTACGACTGCATTATCGGAACACTGATTTTCACTGTCTGAAAGGTTTTTCTGCCATGCTTGGCCAACATCACACACGCATCGCGCTTTTTGCATTTTCACAAAAAAAAGTAATTCAGCCTGAAATTTGGGATTGGTATATTTCGATAGCCTTTAATGAGCCTTTAATGTCTGTGCAATTGGAATTGCAATTTTGTTTTAGCCACTTTTTTGCTCATGTTCTGCTGGCTTAAGTTAAAGCTAGCAGAACAGTCATTTTTGCGAAAATTCAAGGAGCCTAAAATTTCTCATTAGGGCATTTAATTAGCCTTTAATGAGCCTTTAATGTTCCATGTATTGATTTTCGATTCTGCTGACTTTGCTCTTCTAGGTTAAGACATGTTGCGGAGCCTTCCGGGCACGCCACTGGTCGTAGCGCAGTTAGTTTATGTAATTCACATTTTCGAAATCCAAGGGTCCAATTGAAAGGTACTCCTGTAGCGCCTGCGGCTGCTCAGGGCTCTAAGCATAATTAGCATGAGCTTAGTAAAGAGTACCGGTAAATCCGCCAATGTATTTTGGCAATAAAATCTATTTGAATTTGAGTTTGCATATATTTTCGGATACAAAAAAATTATAATAATTAGTATATGGACCCAAAGGAAGCATATTCCATATGCAACAAACTGATTTTTGTTTTGACCTCTGACTTTTTATAGCTAAAATCAGAGCCTTATGTGGATAGCGACTTTTGACACATTAGGTATTGGTGATATAGGATTTTTAAGCTATATTTAGGATGACGTCACATTTAGTAAATTTCTGCTGCTAACCTAACAAAACTGAAAGTACTTTTCAACGCATTTAAAGTAGGGGAATTTTAGATGTTTTTGGTTGGCAACGGCACGCGAAGTTGCATGACATATAAAAACATTTTCATTTCGTTATTTTTAGGTGTCATCAGCATTATTGACAATGACATTCTGGTAGATTATAAGAAAAAAAGGCATTGACAACATTGTCTGCCCTTGTTCGATGACTTCAACCTAAATATAACATAAAAAACCTATATCAAAGGTGTACCTATGCAAAAATTTGACTGACCTTTTCGGTCAATGGGCCCTATTCTCATTAAAAAAAAATACTCCATTAGATAAAAGTAGTGTTTATTTTTAGGTTTTTAGGTTGTATGTTGTATGCCTAAGGATCCTAGTTCAAAAAATAAAACATCGATTCTATATTTGTAATAGATTTTATTTAAATACACACTGAAATAGGTAATCAGCTTAGGAACACTTTTATATTAATTTTTTTTTCGTGTAGCCCATAAATATTTGCGCTACAAACATTCACTTTTTTAATGTCAGATGACAAAAAAAAAAAGAAAAAATATTCGAAACAACATTTTTCTTATTTTACGAAACATAATAATTAATAATGATAATACAAAATCAACCGATAAATTTTTACAAAAAAAAAAAAAAAATATTTATTATTTTTTCTGAATTTCTAATGATAAATTGTCTTTTTTTTTTGATTTCACGAATAATAATTCTGGAAATTAATTATGAGATCAACAGCACAGTTCTGATTAATCGAATTTTAATTATTGAAAAAAAAAAGACAAATATCATTGAAAATACATAAACGTAAACATATAAAACTGGCCATATTTTAATAATAAAAAATACTTTATTTAAAGACCCTGGTCCTCAGTCGACTAAGTTAATACTAACAGTTATTGATCAATACTGACCAATTTTTTAATTTCCGGAAATTGGCGACACCAAGTTTCGTATACTACATTATTCTAGACAAAAATGTTCACACCTATACCTTTTTTTTTCAATTTGCGAAAGATCTGTATAAGCAGAAAATTCTTATATTTTGACCCTGAATTGGTTGCTATTTGTTAATAAGGTAGTGTTTTTTTCCTTAATTATTTGTATCTAACACCAACTTGAATCTGTACATAAAAAATAATATACATTCTTAATTAATTATTTATTTATTTATTAAGTAAATCCTAATTAAGTAGTAGGTATTTATGGATCACAAAATGTCCAAAAAAAAAAATACTGTTTTTAATAATAAATACTATTTACAGTCATACTGGCCAAAGAAAAATTAATATTGATATGATAGGGAATGTACAGTGGGCTACTGGTAATATTCGAATTGTTAAGTACAATTTGTTTTGTTTAAATATAGTAGGTACAATTCGAATTTTACTTTATCAACCCTCAGTCTCAAACAACAAAAATCTTAACTCTAATATAGTACAAATCTATAAACTCAATAATAACCATAATCATAAAAAAACATTGCTTTGGTATCGGTTTCATGTAATATAAAACAACAATTCCCCAATCATACCTTTTGCTCAAAAAAAGGGGATTATTACATCTAAATTTTTTGTACAATAATTATTTAGAACTAGTACAACAACCAAGTGTTTTGTGAATTTTGTTAAAAAAAAGCTAGCGGCTGTCAAAGGATTTTTGTAACAATAATAATTAAATTTGGGATAAACATCACATTAAGTAGGTTGTAAAAACGGCCGTTAATTTTTTCATAAATTTTTTGTAAAATGCACAAAACACCTACATCAATTTATTACGGTGATATATCAGAGACATTATTTAGTTTTTGTAGGTAACACTCTAGCTTATCACAGACATTGAACAATACCATATGAAAAGTCTCACGACCCACACGTCACTATAACTAACTCAGGTCCACAAACACTTTCAAAATGGTATTGTCCACTCTGCATGTCACAAATTATTTTCTAAAAAAATATAAATCGACTAGTACGTTAAACTGGAAGGTGGAGGGGCATGAAACCGCGGTATTCCGCCCCAAGGAAAAAGTCATGTGGCAGCCTCTTTGGAAGCAATGCTCGTTGACGAATCCTCATCGCCACTTAGCATTGGCATGCTGCCGAGCAAGTGACCTTTTCCTTGATTAACCACGCACTTACGCATGTGCTTCTCTAAAGTAGAAGGAACTGAGAAGGGCATTTCGCAAAATCTACATCTGTAAACGTCTTTGCCTAGTCTTCCGTGGGTTTTCATGTGCCTTGTTAATTTAGAACTTTGGGCGCACGCGTAGGAGCATAGTTCACATTTGTAAGGTTTCTCTCCAGTGTGTGATCGTCGATGTACAGTAAGGTTTGAACAATTTTTGAACACTTTGCCACAATATTCACAAGTGTCATTACGGCGTGATTCTTTTTTCAATGGATGTGGTAGTAAAGAACTAGGTCCAGGTATCCCCTTGTTTTCCCTAGATAAACCTGGTAACCACCAATCATTACGTTCCAGATCCATTTTTAATCTTTTCGTTGCCTCATAGGTATCGTTGAAATGAGGAAATAACGGTAACGGTTGAGGAGGTGGCCCGGTCATTAGACCTTTGGCGAACTCTTCACGAATTTTCAATTGAGTAGCTAAAGATGTATTATTGTTATCTCTATCTTTGCTGGCTTGGTGTATATGAAGCTTCAAAGCAGAATTACTTTCTTGCAATGCTTGCTTGTAAGCTTCACTATATTGAGCGATGTTACTTAAACCAAACTTGTCCATAAGTTCGCCTACAAGAGAAGCTTGGTTAGGATTCACGTTTTTTGAACCTTGACTAGGTACACTTAAATCCTCAGCTTCTTCATCTTCCTGTTCCATTTCGTCGTCTTCGTCTTCCTCTTCGTCAATATCCTCATCTTCTTCACTATCTTCGCCATCCATAGTTTCCACCGAACCAGCGTTGCTGGTACGATCTTCTGGTGTCCTATGAACTTTCATGTGTCGTTTTAATTTGCTGCTGCCAGCATAACTTTGATCGCAAACTGTGCATTTATAAGGTAATTCTCCAGTATGTGATCGTCGATGAACTTCAAGATTATTTAAAAATCTGAATTTTTTCCCACAATATTCGCAAGCATGAACGGCATCGGCTGAATTAGAATTTCTAGGAGAACCAGGTTTGCCAGGTGGTGTCGAAGCAGATCTTGGTGTGTTAATCAATTGCTCATCACTACTACTTTTGTTGGGTGGTGACGTACTTGGTGGTCTACTTGAACTATTGCCGCTATTCCCACTACTAGAACTATGGTTATTGTTGTTGTTATGGTTTGGATTACTTGTACTGCTGGACGAGCTGATATTATTTGGAATAGTTGTTAGTGGCACTTGCGAAGGCGAGGGACTTGTAAAAGGCGGTGAAAGCTTCCTGGGGCTCGGTGAGCTCGCCTGCGCTACCCCAGGACTTGTTGTTCCTGCTAATGCTCTCAACCGCTGTGAGTAAAAATCCAGTTGTGGTTCAAGTGATAAGGGTTGATTGGGTGTATTCCGATCCCTTGGTGGTAAACTGGTTACCGAACTTGATCTTTCAGCTGCTGGCGATGGAAAACTGTGAGGCTGTGGTACGCCTCCAGCGGCTACTGCTGCTGCAGCTGCAGCTAAATTCAGTCCGTGATGTCTAAATTGTTCATTCACCAATTGATCAATTCTATAATGGTGTTCTGGTCTAGAAAATAGTGGTGCGGGTGGAATATTTGGATTCATTCCGTGACTTAGAGGTGGTAATGGTAGTCTTAATAAACCACCTACTCCGAAAGGGTTGTGTAGATCAGGCGGTGGTAATAAGGGGTGCCTAAGACTCGTTGGTGCTTGAGGCGGTATACTGACAGAAGCCCCAGAAGAACAACCAGAGGAACTACTGGAAGCTGAACTTGTGGAATGATTATTATTTCCACTACTGCACTTGGAACCTGGCGATGATTCTACGTAGATTTTAATGCCATGTGCATGCTGAACATGCTGAACCAGACGCCATGCCGAATGAAGGCGCGCTTTGCAAGTTGAGCAGACGTAGTTGCTGGGCTCTGAAACAAACAAAAGTATGATTTATAAATTTTCTCCTGCAACTATGCGGTACTGTTATACTGCAATATGTTAATGGCTCATTGTATGCTTATGCTTACACACACCTTCACATTTAGTGTCGTTCTCTTTGGAATTATGATTTATGATTTCGTTAATAGTTCGGTCCGCTCAAAGCTATGTGCATCTGCATAAAGGTGCATTAAGTATTGCGGTCTTTAAGAAGACATTTCTTTAATTGTTGCATGACCTAGGTAATTGCTGGTGTGATGGGGAATTTGTCATGTCATCGTTTGGAGAGAGTAAGAGGTCTATTAAATCTATGAGTAATCTATATGCGGAAACTACATAGGTGCCTATTTATTTTGTAATGTTAGTGTCGGCGGTAAAGAACTAATTATTCAGAGAGAGGACATAGGAATAGTTTGTCGCGAATGTTTAGGGGCAGAGTTAGGATCAATGTAGCAAGCAGAAATAGGCAACACAATGGGAAAAACGACATAGTAGAAAAGATCCTTATCATAGTTTGGAATTATATTTTGAATAAAAATATATGTTTGAATACAAAAAAGCTAGGAGTTGGGCTCCCATCTCGTTGTCCCTAGAGTATCGGATATAGACTATGTCGGTACGAAATTAAAATGAATTAACTTTTTAGTAAATTAAAAAAGCCCACTACAGCATCCAAGATAATAAAGCTCTAAACCCCAATAATCCGAGCACGTATAGATCCTAACATCTGACCCACCGTTGCACAAAAACGAAAACGCATTGTCCAGTCCTAACCCTATGCCACATGTCACCCTTTAAAATTTTCTCAAATAGAGTCGGCCGAGCGTGTAAAAAAGTTTAAAGTTCTTTAATCCCAACGGGGGATGATGATAATAATATTGTCGATGGTCATCAACGTTATTAGGACATGTGTCCCAGCAGGGATGCCAAAAACAAAAGGTCGACAATTGCGCCAGATGACAGACCGCCGATAACGTTACAACCATACGAAATCGATTATGTATTTTAGTTTGAATTGCTAAAAGTGACGTCAGAGTGACCTACCAGTATAATTCAAACAACTCCTGCAGTTTAGATGGATTTCTCTGATAAGAACCAACAATTTGTCAATATTCATCAAGCATCTTTCCCACATAATAGTAGTACGTTGGTTTGAGTTAAATGGACTTAAATAATGCAAACTGAATGATAAAATAAAAATGGATATTGAATATGTAGGTAGCATAACTTTCAATATCTATCCAAACGGAAGTTTCTACGTCAAATGTGTCGTATAAATTTATCCAAATCTGTCACTCTCTCATCTTGGCACGACTGTTTGTCAGCGAAATATTCAATAAGCTCAGTGAAAAGCTCCTTTTTTTTAATTCGTTTTCTTTGTTTTTGGTTGGTGTCAGTCGCGAAATCTTCAGCCAAAAAGAAAATAATTTTTGAGAGAAATGTATAGAAAAAATAAAGAATTTATTGTTACGGGAGAAGTTTCCGCCTTTCAAAGCGTAAATTCTTGACCCCCATAAAACAGATTTAAATAATACATTTCGCGCAAGCTTTAAATCTTAGTCTTCTTTTTGGACTTTAATAAGGGTATATAGGCGGGAGAGTGCCCCCTTGAATACACGATATGGCTTTCGGACAGGCCACAAAAGAAACGCAGGCTTAAAAATTTGAATATCGCGGTCATTCCGGTCTTATCTTTTGGCATTAGGGATATATAATCTCCGAGAACTTTTGACTGATAGCTTCTGTAAAACCTTCTTTAAATAGAATGGACTGAAATGTAAAAATATTAGTTTTGATATTGATTTTTTTCTGGTGATTTCTTGGATGTAGGTAGGAGATTGTCATGCAGCAATGATAATGAATAACCAAGTTTGGCCAGCTGACCAGAAGAATGACCTCTGGCCAAACTTTGGTTTATTCCGGAATCGGGGGAAGAACATCCACCTTTTGATTATGCTTTATTAAATTTTGGGGTGCAATTATTGGGTCTAATATTTTTTGCAGTTCGGCGCATCGTTATTTTTTGAATAACGAATCAACTTAGTTTTTAATAAAATCCAACACCCTCAAACATAATAAATTAAAATCCATCACAGCGTATGGATATCCAATCAATAATTCATTAATTTTGCCACATAGTGAAAATAGCCCCAGAGGGCAATATTTCAATACAATTTAAAATCAGTAACAAGTGTCTGAAATAACCTTATTGTTATTCCGCTGAAAGCCATCCCCATGTAATTTTCAGTTTTCGAGTTTTCCCCTCTACATTGAATTTTCAAATAGGAAACACAATACTCGATTATGAATCCGAGACCACAAATGTCATCGATAGGGTATGGATCAATCACAAGCCAATGGCGATTTATTTTCGTTTAAATTTTGAATTAATTTTTAATTAAAATTGTACACGTGCCTACCATAGATGCATTATCTTAAATTTTTTACTTCTTACCCTTCCAAGAGGGTGCATCCTCGATCACGTGCCCTTCAACTAATTATTTAAATCGACTAGTCTTGTCTACCCGACACAAAAGAGACGTAACGTAAAAAAAAGGATGGCGAGCTCGCGCGTTAATAATTTAGATGAACAGATGAGACATTAAGAACCGGTAGAGCGTGTGCTACCAACAATGATAATACCTGGTTAAAGTACCCTTCTTCGTGCTTATTAATCAGTCTGTCATAGCACGCGTTATATGGTTGCTCGTCTAAGGTGCCTTTTTTTTGGGTTGGGATAGCTTACATCTGGTTGCCGGTTATAGTAAGAAGTTGGTGGCTTATCAAATTATGCAATAGTTTTAAAGGAAATGGACATAGAATATTGGATATTTTCTTCATGGATTATAAATCCTATTGGGTTTATGCATTTAATACTATGCCATAATAATATAATCCGATTGAAATATACTCCTCACACGTCACAATCATATTAGTAACGGCTTATTTCAGAAGATTTGCACAATCGGTTTTCGCCATCGTTTTTGACAGGCGCCAAAGGGTAAAAGGCTTTTATTAAAACAAAACCGTCAACCCTTGTCTAATATCTTTATCCCGAAAAGTTCTTTTTTAGGCATATGCGTAGTTTGATTGATATATGTGTTTTGGAAAAAGTAATAGGTTTTTGTGAGAAATTTGTTCAAATTAACATCAAATGGGAAACTAATAATGCTTGGCTTAAAATTGTTCAGCAGTATTCACTATTGTTATGTCTTCAGCATCCGGTATTTTTGTACCTTTTACCTTTACCATATAACTGGTAAAGGTAGAGGTTGAAGTGTTGTCATTTTGTTGTATAGTCAGTTTGTCAAATTATATTATATATAATATTGAAAATATAGAGTTGACTTGAAAAGTAAAGCATTATTACATATTTATTAATGGCGACGAGGATAAACCTATTTACAAATGAAAATGGATGAAGAACAATTTAAAGGATTTTTGGAAAATTTTCCAAAAATTATGCAGGCTACAATCAAAGTTCAAAATACCTTCAGGAAAAGTATTTCGATGCAACCTTTCTCAGAACATGCGGAATCTTGGGATTTATACATTAAAAGATTAGAGAACTTCTTTGGTATGAAAAATTTTATAGGATCAGCATTTGAAATAAAAAAAAGAAAATGGAATGATTGCTTCATACAATGGGAACCAAAATCTTACAACTCACTTACAACTTGGTAAGTCCTGATGATCCTATAAGGATAAAACCTATAAAGAATTATCGAAGTTAGTAAAAGAATATTATTTAAATACTTCTTCAAGTATAATTGCATTACAAAATAAATTCGCAGAACAAGTACAACGAGAAGATGAAAGTATTTCAGATTTCGTTACTGACCTTAAAAAGTTATGCAGGGACTGTGAATTCAAATGTCTTAGCTGTAATGCTTCTACTGTCGATGTGCACCTTCGACAACAATTTGTTAACGGTTTGAAAAATCCAAATCTTATTGAGAAAATAATATAACTAAAGGTTTCAAAGAATAATTTTCCTGATTGCGTTACTGTGGCCATGGTAATGGAAACTGCACATCGAGAAACGAAAGGAATTCAAAATTGTAGTTTGTTTCATCAAAATTAAGTTAATACAGTAAAACTACGATCAATACAATAGAAAGAGTTCAAGAAGTTAAAATCCTGCTACCGCTGTGGTGAAAGTTCACATACCTATACGAAAGACATTTTAAACTGATTACTGAACACAAACCGTTAACTTCGATATTTTACCCTGAAAAGAAGGTGGCGACCAGAATGCTTCACTATGCATTATTTTTGCAAGGTTTTGATTTTGAATTTATTTACAGATCTATATCTGATCATGCAAATTCAGATGCTCTTTTAAGATTACCTCAAATGAAAAATCAATCGCCGAATAAAGAACCAGATATACTAGTTTATGATCCAGTGTCATGCTATCAACAGATTCTTAAACTACCTTTAACACATACAGAAATTGTACCTGAAACGCGAAACGATGTCGTTCTGTCCAAAATATATAAATGTATGCAGATTGGAGAAAATATTACTGAACATGATTTTTAAGGTAAAGATGCCGAAATTTCATTGAATGCAGGTGTTATCATGAGAAACGTAAGGGTAGTTATTCCAAGTTGTTTGAGGAAAAGAGTACTCAATGAACTTCTCGAAGCTCATACTGGCATCATCAAAATGAAAAGTTTGGCAAGACCATTCGTATAAGTGGCCAAACATTGATTAAGATATTGAAAAAATAGCAAGAGAGTGCATAAGTCGTTAAAATGTACAAAACGATCCTCCAAAATTCATTCATATTTGAGAAGAAACAAAATAACCTTGGCACGTTTACATGCTGATTCTGCAGGCCGTAAATATTTTTTTGTTTTAGTCGATGCATTTTCAAAATGGCCAGAAATCGTACCGATACCTTCAAAAACTGCTTCAACTACTATTAAAGTATTGCGAAAAATTTTTGCCCGTTCTGGCATACCATTAGTTTTGATAAGTGATA